GGATGATTTGATGGAGAAAAGAAATATCATTTGGTGGCTTGGGACACAATTAAAAGACCACTAAATCAGTGCGATTAAGAGTGAGATCTACCTTGAGATGAAACAAGCTCTTCAAGGAAATGGATATGGTGATTTTTGAAGGAAATTGACATTTTGTGGAGAGTTATGGAGGCGAAGTTTGACAAATGGACATATGGGAGGTATTCAAGAGCATCGCTGAGGCCATATGGGACAGGGTTGTGGAAGAGGATCTACATAAAGGAGACTTTTACGAGTGCCTTAAATGGCGGTTGTGAGGTGGGGAAAGAGTTTTTGGTAAGATATTTGGATGGATGGAGGAGGGGCTATGAGAGAGCGAGGTTCTCACAGATTTTTGCTACAGCACGACATTATGACATTTTTGTCAGAGAGATGTTCACCGAAGGAGCAGGTAGGAGAGAGTGGCACGTTGAAGTATTTTGTAATTTTATTGACTAGGAGATAAACAAATATGAATAGTTGCTAAGAGCATTGACTTCAATTTCACTTTGTGAGAATCGAGACCTACCTATATGGACTTCCATTGTTATGGGGCAATTCACTGTTGGGACCTTTTACAAATTCTTGACCAAGAAAGAGCCAAACAAAGGAAGCTTCCCGTTTAGACAAATATGGAGACTTAACACACCTCCAAGAATAGTATTTTTCACTTGGGAAGCAATTTGTTGGAGCGTTTTGACTATTGATAAGCTTATGATAAGAGGGAAGATTATGAAAAAGTGGTGTTGTTTATGTAAGAGAGCGGAGGAAACATGTGATTACATCCTCTTTTAGTCTCCCATTGCATACAACTTATAATCTACAACTTTTGGGATTCTAGGGTACAATTGGGTCATGGCGGGCATAGTCAAAGAAGAAATTTGGGCATTGAAGGGAATAATGAGATGGAAAAAGTATTTGGAGCTCATTCTACTAGCTATTTTTTAGATTGTCTCGAAGGAAAGTAATAAGAGAGTTTTTGAGGAAGTGAATGAGAGTATTGATAAAATTAGATGGAGATGGTTTCAGTCCCTTAGAGTATTGATAATGAAACAAAATTTGTATTCCATAGAGAACCTAGGTGAACTAATTGGTATGCTAACCGATATATAAATTCATTTTGTACATGGGTTTTGCACCCCCTTGGTGCATGTAATTAGTACTTATCATACTTTTTTTGTCAAAAAAATAACAAAAAAGACAAGGGGTTATCATGCCTTAGGCCCTGGAGGCCTTGAAGAAAGACAAAGGGTCACCATTAACCAAAGTTGCAAATGATGAGGTAGAGATGCAAGTCGTGATCTATCTATGCCATTTTGTCTCTAAACCCATTCCCTCCAATATGTAAAACAGGAAACTCCATGCTACCTAATCATATGCCTCTTACATGTCCAACTTACATAAAACCCTGTTATCAACAACCTTGTTCACTATTAAGGCAACATCAAGGATTTTTCTTCCACCCACAAAAGTATGTTGACACTCGTCCGCCATGTTACTCACCGCCTTTGCCATTCTCCTTGCTAGTACATTTGCAACAAGTTCATAAAACCCCTTCCACCAAACTGATTGGTATAAAATATTTGATGTTAGATGTCCTTTTTACCTCTAAGATGAAAACCAAGAAAGTGGATTTCAGGCTTCTCAAAAAAGATCCAATTTCATGGAACTTGTCAAAAACAGCAACAAGGTCAGCTTTTAGGGTCCCTCAATTTTCCTGAAAGAAGTTCATGTTGAACCAATCAGATCTCGGGGCTTTGTTGCCCTTACAGCTCATAAGAATTTCATGAATTTCCTCTCCTGTAAAAGGTTGCTCTTGGTGTACATAGTACTGCTTACTCGACCTACTGAATTCGACACCATCCAGAGTAAGTCTCCATAATGCATCTCCAATGTATAACTCTTCATAGAAGGACTTGACACTCTCCATTTTTTATTTCCTTTAACCACATTACCATTAATCACCAACTCCTTAATCTACTTGCATCTTTTTTGCTGATTTGCCATGGTGTGGAAGAATTTTGTGGTCCTATCCCTTCCTTTATCCGCTTTGAGAGCACTATTTTCTGGACGAATGGATGCACAATCTGTAAGTGTTTCAGTTCCCTAATTTTATAGGGCAAATACTTTTGCTTGAGTTGTTTGTGGAAAATTTTCAATATTCGCCAGTGGAGCTTGGGCAATGGTGTGCTATTTAGCCATTATTCTTCCAACTGTAGGTAAGTGCAAGTCATCCATATGTATACTAAGAAATTACTGCTGAAGGATGTTCAGTATAAACTTGTATGTACAGCTGGATGACTTTGTGGTTTTTCTTGTATATTTAAGGGAAGCTTTTTTTTCTTTGGAATGAGTGCATTGACATGTACAGACAAGATAGGACATGATATGTGCATAGTCTTCATTTGCTTTTTACTTCTGCCTTTTATGTTTGAGAGACGTCTGATAAGATATTGTCTTCATGGCTCTTAGTGCATTTTTTTTGTTTCTGTTTCCTCAGTTCCTTAGGATTCTTATGGCCGACTTTATTTCTTGTGCTAAATGTAGATTAAAAGGGAGATCAAAATACTTCAGAACCTCTGTGGCGGACCAAATATTGTGAAGTTGCTGGATATTGTTAGGGATCAGCAGTCAAAGACACCAAGTCTGATATTTGAATATGTGAATAACACTGATTTTAAAGTGCTTTACCCGACACTTTCAGACTATGACATTCGATACTACATTTATGAACTCTTGAAGGTAAACAATTTTGTTTTCTCCAGCATGATGATAACAGGATGCGCATAAAGAATAGTTTAGAATGTATGCTGACAAAATATCAAAGTAAAATCGGCAATATATTTTGTGTTGTTACTTCAAACTTCTTTGTTTTTCTTTCCATTGGTTCTTTTATTAAACTCCCTTTTATCTATTTGAACCTTCTTTTGGGGTGGGGGGAGGAATTTATGGAGATTTCATTATTTTGATTACATTAGTATTTTCATAATCATTTGGAAATGAAATCTGATTTCTAAGTGCGTTGAAGGACCTAATCCCTCATAGGAAGCATGATTGTCTCCTCTGCTCAAAGAAATCAATGTTTTTTTGGTCGGGCATGGTTCTTGTTCATGTTTGGAAGATTCCCGTCTGTTTTAATCAATTTGATGTTTTCCCCTTGGGATCCGGAGACAATTGCAAATGTGTTTGAATTTCAGGGTGGATAAATGTAGTATCTATAGAGGTTTGTGAGTATCTATACTGGTAGGTGAATATACGCCATTTGTCACTTTTATTTCAGACTTTCATCAGTTACAACACTATCACAATCGCATTTTCAGTAATTAGAATTTTCTGTTATGTTTTGAGTTCAAAAGCAGCCACTTTTTTTAAAGCTAGCCTTGCACGGGGTAAATGTTTGTACAGGCATTGGATTATTGTCACTCACAAGGTATCATGCATAGAGATGTGAAACCACATAATGTAATGATTGATCATGAGCAACGAAAACTTCGTCTCATTGATTGGGGCCTGGCTGAATTCTATCATCCTGGGAAAGAATATAATGTTCGTGTTGCTTCAAGGTTGGCTTCTTTTTTGTTGAAAGTTCTTTTTCTTAACTTACTCTTCTAATTATTTAAGTGAGCCTTTTGTTTGCAATTTACTTGTTTGCCTTAAACATAGTAGAATACTATTACTGTTTCTGTCATCCCGTAACAAGAGGTATTGGAGATCTGGATTTGCGGGGAACTTAGATTTGTTCCATGAAGTGAAAATTAAATGTTCTATTCTGATAAAAGCTTAACTATTTTGGTGCTGCAGTCTCTTTTTGTGTCTGAATTTAGTTTATGATATTAGGATTACAATGTGGAATAGATTAGTTTTAAATTTCCTATATAGATTAAAAAGTATAATTCTTGTATATATAGAATTCCTGTATTATTCTAAGATTTCATTATTTTCAAGTGTTTAGTTTTTCTATTTTTATTAGTATTAATAATTTTAATTTAATCTTTTTTCAGAAAGTTTATTAGATCACTATAAATACCTTTCGTAATTTCACTTTTGAAAAATGGTGTAGAGATCCAAGAAAGAGTTCTTGTTTTTTTGAGAGGATATTAAATAAAGAGTTTCTGAGGATTTTCTCAATCTTTCTGGTTGTGTGATGCAGTTACTCTTAAGTGTCATGCTTACGAATTCTTAGGTCAAATATATAAGAAGCTCTAGGTGTGATACCTAGTTTTTATCTTCAAATGCTGAGGAGGTAAATTAAGGCTAGTTTTTCCAACGTCAGTTTAGTTTACTTATCACTTTTAAACAAACTGGTCTGTTATATTTGGTACAGAAGCTTTTCTATTAATTAATTTGGCTGTTATTTGCAGTAGAGCTTCATGCTTGAGGCAGTTCACATTTCATCATTGTGGTTTTAACAGTTAGAATTTGGGCATTGTAGGGATAGTATCTCTTTGGCTATTTTGCAAGAGATTTGGCTGCAAAATACTGATTTTGTTTTCTCTTTTTACTTCTTTTTAGGAGAATCTATTATCCTCCACTGATATACTTCCCTCTTTTCTCTTCCCAATTATACTTCTCTCTCTAAAAACAATTAAGAATTTAGAAATAGAGCTTCACTTATTGGTATCTTACCTAGTTGCAAGGAACTATTTCTTGTAATATAAGATGAACATTTAATAGCTTAAATTTGTTTTGCTTCAAGCCTTTGTATCACATGTTATCTATATCACTCTGCTATCTATATTTATGGTTTGCAGATACTTCAAAGGTCCTGAGCTTCTTGTTGATTTGCAAGACTATGATTATTCTTTAGATTTGTGGAGCCTTGGTTGCATGTTTGCTGGAATGGTGAGTATCTCAACCAAATTTATTTTAGTTCAGTAGGCCAAATATCGTTTCTTTCCAGAGATAGGCTTCCATACCTTGGAGCATGGGACTATACATCTGTTTCTCCTCCTGCACATTCATGATGTCTATGCAAGTGGTCCTGGACATGTATTTTAATAGGTTTCATAACTCTCAACCGATAAGTTGCCCCTGGACTATATGATTATCGATCTCTAGGAATTCACATGCACTTTTATGGACTTTCCCTGAGTGGTCTGCATGGACTATTTCCAAACTATTGTCATATATTTATGGGGTAGCGTGTGTTGGTGCACAATAGATGTTTGATCTTGATCTGCTTGCATATTCATCCATGGGTGACAGATGGTGAGGAGTATCAAAATTTGATATGTGATGCTTATTCTTGGGGCTTGTGATGTACAGATATTCCGCAAAGAGCCATTCTTCTATGGACATGACAATTACGATCAACTGGTTAAAATAGCCAAGGTATCGAGGAATTTAAGTTGTTTATGTAGCAAGTATCTGTTTCTGCCTAACACATAGCATGGAAAAGAATTCTTATTAATCCTTTTTGTCTAATTTTTTTTATGTATTTATGTGACGGTGTTTCCTGGTACACTATTACACATTCTCTCCTGCTCTAAAACGATCTCTCTTCTGGTTGGTGCATGAAATGAGAAACCACCAATCTAGTAAATCAAGAAATTATGTTTGTGTAGGTGAATGCACAAGTTTAGGGGTATACATTCTGACTTTTGAGAGTTGGAAGGTGGGGGAGGAGACACCTTCCAACTCGTAGATTTGTTCTTTTGGATAAGATGATAGAAAAGTTACAAGTTTGATGTTTCTCTGAAAAACAGGTCCTTGGGACAGATGAACTAAATGCTTATCTGAGCAAGTACCGAATAGAGTTGGACCCACATCTCGCCGCCCTTGTTGGCAGGTTAGTGTATGTTTTTGATTCAGTTGATTATACTATTAATGCATTTATCTGAACGTGATTGCCCTTTGTTCTCTACAGACATAGCAGAAAACCATGGTCAAAGTTCATTAATTCTGACAACCAGCACTTGGCAGTTCATGAGGTTAGAACCATTAACAATATGTGCTCCAAAATTGTGTCAAAATTTCCCGTCATTATGTTTATTTATTGTTATCCACCTTTCTTGAAGGCTGTTGACTTTCTTGACAAGTTGCTGCGGTATGATCACCAAGAAAGGCCAACTGCAACAGAAGCAATGGTAGATTCTAAATCTTTATGATCTCCTTAAGCCCTTCAATGCACAGCCTGTATTTCTGTTTGAAAAGTGTACTTGTGTTTGTTTTTGATACTGAAAGTTGAACGTCATCCCAAAAATAGACAAAAACTAAAAGTGGAAGTGTTTATACATAAAAATTGTAGTAGTTGAAAGCTGAAAACAATGTTTTGGAAATAATAATACAAACGTGATTAGGTTTGAGAATAATGAAGAATTTATTTTTATATTTCTTAGAAGACTTTTATTTATATATTTTTTTTATTACCGAAGATAAATACACCAGATATTAGATAAACCATGTGTATGCACATCTTTTGAAAATAATTTCTGTTGATTGCTGAAGGTGTATGCTTTTGTTTTCGTACACTATTCACTGTTATTTTACTGTATAAAGTCCTTTAAGCAGAACCATTTATGTTACAATTTTTATCAATCTACAATCACAAGATTGTCATGTACCGGATATTCAACTATAATTTAACATCTTTTAAGAAATCGAACTAAAACATACAGATTGTTCCTTTTGGAGGGACTGTTTGTTGTTTTTTTAAATAGTGAATCTAGTTGTAGTTATATTCAACTTCCATAATATTAATGCTATATTCTATTTATACATAAAATGCAAATCAATTTACAGAATATAACTTTAAGATATCTTTCATCTCTATATTTTTTTTTTTTTGTGTGGAGTAAAATAAAAAATGGTTTCTAAGATCGTATATCATGCAGGCCCATCCATATTTCTACCCAATTAGAAATGCAGAAAGCAGCAGAGCACGAGCTCAGTAATGGTGAAGTGCAGTATCTTCTTTCAAGGTAGTCAGTCAGTCACTAGGCAGAGCTTTCTACTGTACTCTTGACTGAAACTTGTTAATTTTTGTGTTTGGGTTTAATTTGTTTTTTTTTTTTTTTAATTTTTTTTGGATTCAACTCAGGTTTTATATTTTTCCGTGTGCTTATGATTTGTGAACTATCTTCGTATAGTTTCTGCCTGCCAGAAATAGTTGTCTGGCTTCTTCTTTTTTTTTTTCTTTTTGGTGGTCAAATGTGTAACAATCTAGACCTTCTCTTTTCTCCCTCAATTTGCTCCTGCCTTTTACATTGGAAATGATCAACAGGTGAACAGAGGATTCAAGGGAGTATATTCAAGAATTTGGATGATTTAAAAATAACAAGGCAAATTTTAAAGCAGTATTTGTGTTCAGATCGCCGTATTTTCCGTTGAACGAATTACCATTATTGTTATTATTACTATTATTATTATTATTATTTCGTTCGTATTGAAATGAGTTGGAACATGTATATTGGTCAATGCCATTTGAAATGGACTTGTTTTGGATAATTATAAGTACTTCTAATGTATACGTACATATATAAATCCTTTCTTTTAAGATGATTTTAAAGGCGCACTTACTCCCTGCATATATTTGGATAGTTTGGCAAATCACTCAGAGAAGATAATTGCGAGAATCAAACCCTAAATTACCCAAGAAAGAGAATTTATAAATATTTTAACAGTCAGATTATAGTTTTGTTTTTTTTTAAAAAAAAGATGAATTATATTTTTTTTTTAGTATCTTCATAAAAAAAAATATCTCACGTCAAAACAGATCTTGATGGTTACGAATTCCAATGGGATCATCCAATTTGGTAGAATTTAGAACATAGAATTTTAATTTTTACATAATTTCTTTTTGTTAATCTACTTAATTTCTTTAATCAATGAATTAAGCAAAATTAATTGAGTTTGTTCGTAAACCAAATAATAAATAACTCTTATCGTTTTGCCGATTTATGGTGAGGAAACAGCAAGAAAACGGGGGGGTCTGTCACCGTCATCTCATCTTGTTGTTGGGGTTTTTAAAGAGGCAAAATCGTCAAGAGCAACGGAACCCTAAATTTCATTCGCGAACGTATTAGTTGACAATAACTCACATGCAGACACACCGGCCATTGTTATCCGCTGCATCAGACATACGTCTCTACCCAACGGTTCCTTAACCCCCATCCCATCCCTATATATATCTACGTATATACATATATTTTTTACCAGATAATATGTAAAAGAAAAGAGATTGTTTCATTTCATCCATTTTAATGTAAGCCGTTTTTTGCTTGCTTTACATGGTTTCAAACTGTCAGTTAAATCTGGAGTCCTTCATCCATTCAAACATATATGTTGCTTATAAATGTATATATGTGTGTGTGTTTATTACATGCCATATTTTGTGATTCGGAGTTAATCACTTGAAAAATTTTCTCTCAGTGCTCTAGTTTTGCCCGTAGATATCTTATCTTTATTGAAGTCACATACACAATATTTTTTTTTACAATAATATATATATATATATATAATATGATTAAATATCAATTATTCTTTTAATTAGAATCTTATAATCAGAAGATAATTGATGACGGAAGGAATTATACTCTCCGTGATTTCAATTTAATTTGAAATCTTCAATTCAATAAATTAAATTTCTCCTCTCCTAGTCATTTCAAACATTAATACTTGCTCGACATAAACTAACTTTTTTTCCTTAATTAAAAAATATAATGTGAAACATAATGAACATTCTTAGAATTTTTCTATATTAGGCGAGGATATAAATATATTTACATGCCCTATTTCGTCCATTAATATTTTAATAATAACATTAATTTAATGACATTATTACAAGTTTTTTTATTTTTCAACTCGACAGAAAAAAGTTCTCTTCACTTTGAGGTCATATCGGAATATAGAGAGAGAGAGAGAGGCGGGAGAGTTGACCCATAAAGACACATTACTCCCAATATATATATATATATATATTGATAATTTATATTCATAGTTCTATTCACTATGCTTGAAAATTTAGATAATTTTTTAGTAAATATACTGATACTTCATAATTTAGACTACCCACTTGGTTTTTTTTTAAAAAAATAATAATTTAGAGACATTTTTATAATTTTTCCTTTTATCAAGTTGGTAAAGAAAAGTTCAGAGTGTTTTTAGGTCAAATTGAGAAAGTGGGTAGGAGGGTTGACCCATAAAAAGACAAAGATCCCCCATCTCCACCAAATTATGGAAAGGGGAAAAGACACTTGGCCTCTTCCCAATTCTCACTTGAGGGACAAGTGCCCTTAATGAGCTTTCTTTAATTAAATAGAAAGGGAAAACACATTTGGTCTCTTCCCATTTCTCATTTGAAGGACAAGTGCCCTTAATTAGCTTTCTTTCCTTTAATTAATTGGCCCGCCCTCGTGCCTCTCCTAACAATCCCTTCCCCCCTCCCCCAACTCAGCGCTTTACTATAATTTGTTCATTTAAAAATATTTAAATTAATATTTATATATATATTTTTTATATTTTAAAAAAATTTAAATAAAAATAAAAGTTTAAACTAAGTTTACCTTTGTTGGTAGGGTAACCCCTCCTAACTCTCCCACAAATCCACTCAACTCAAGGGATATGTCCCTGAGATTTTAAGGGTATACCTTTCAAAAATCCGAACCTGAACATCTCCGCGCAACTCAAGGCGGCGCGTGGGTAACCACGTGATCAACACGCAGAGTTAAAACCCACATGTAGTGATGTAAACTGTGGAACCCACGAAAGAGGCAAAATCAGGGGACGCGGCTAACCCACGCGCGCCGCTATTGGTCGGATAATAACCGGAGACAAAGTTAAGACATAAGAATCGTTAAAAGCTTTTTTAGTTAATTGCTTTCGAGACATTTGGGATATAATCCCGTGTAGAGGATCCACCAATAGGGGACCGTCCGCCTCATTTTTCACACATTTTATTTATTTATTTTTTTAAAAATAATTAGACAATTTTTAATAATAATTAAAAATATTTAACTTCATTATTAAGAAATAATGATAATAGTAATAATAATAATAATAATAACAACATAAAACGACAGCTCCAGGTTACACATCAACTTTATAGATCTCACGGGGCAAAAAGAGATTTGCATTTTTGGTTCCCTTCACGTTTAAACCTTTATATATGTATATGTATATGTAGAGAGAGAGAGAGAGGGTAGATTTAAATGCATGTGGAGGAAGATATTTACATGAGACCAATTATACCATATCAATCATGGATGACATGCATGTATGATGATGTATGGATGTGTATTATGATGGATGGGGTGAAAAATGATGATGATTGAGATGAGGGGTGATGTTGAAATTGATGGGACCTAAACGACAACGTACGTGGCAGGGCTTGTGGTTTTGGTCTTATCCTGGTTACACCCATGCTTTCCGATTCAGTATCGTTTTTGTCTTTTTATACCTCCACCGATGAACGTACAGAACTGGACAAATACTACGTACTAATACTACTGCCTACATGTCTTACCAAGGGCATTCTTGTACATTCACATTTTATTTTATTTTATTTTCGAAAAAATGAGATAAATAATCAAAATTAACAGTTGCCGTTTGTCCGTCGTCAGACATCATAATACCTCCAAAATTATTAATCTTCCTTTTTTTTTTTTTTTTAAAGCATAATAATTAACTAATTTTTACTCAATAATTATTCATTAGAGATTTTAATTTTAATTTTTTTTAAATAAATTATTAAATTTTGTTCTAAAATAAAAATTATTGTGAAATTTTTTGACTTTTTTTTAAAAAATAGAGACCAAAAACTGACATGGGTGTCTGAAACTTACTATATAACCCATTAACTCAATAAGGAGGAAAAGGACACGTAAGGACTGATCCTACATGCCAATTTGCAAAACAAAACGCTGCACTTCGGCAAAAGTCCCATCCTTGATAAGAAAAAAAAAAAAGATGTTGATAATTAAAATGATCTAAAAAATTGGACGGTTGTGATTTTGTCTTCACGCCAGCTTACTCACTAGTCAAATGCATGTTCCCCACGTGTCACCATTACATGATTATCAAATATGATTTCAATCACAATGTTATATCATCCGCACGCGTGTGCGCATATACATAAACTCATAATTTATTTTTGAAATTATTCATTGAAATACTGAAATTATCTAGCGAAATATTTTAATAAATAATGTGTTATAATATACTATTTATATATATATATATATATGCACATATGTGCATGCATGCATGTAGATATAGTGGAAGGATGAGAGATGGGTGATGGGGGCAGAAATGGCAGGTATCGATGAAGAGACAAAGGCAAATAAAGGGGGATAGGGGGGAGCCGTGGTGGCAGCCAAGTGTCGGAGACCAAAACCAAAACAAGAACAATTCTGCTAATCATCTTCTCCAACCACGTTCCATAGCAGACCTTATTTTTCATATAAATTAATTTTAACAGGCAGCTCTACCCTATCTCTGCCCTTTGTCTCCTATCTCTTCCCAAACTCTCCAACATTCAAAGCTGTAATCCTTAATTTTAAACTATTCCCACCTCATTTACACACACACACACACGCACATATATATATATATATATATTTGTATGTATGTATGTATGTACGTATGTATGTATGCCTATTTGTATGGATACATTGTACGTAGAAAGCTTTTTGTTATTGTACATATTTTTAAAGGTCTTTTAATTTCAAGTCAATCCCATTAGCAATTATGATTTACTTCTAATTATCAAATAACAACAAGCAAGGAATGGAATTATAATTAATAAGTTTAAATTAAAATCAACCTTAATTATTTCTTAATTTCTGGGTTAGATATTCTTGTGCTTTTGCTGTTGAAGGGGAGAACTCTGACCAAATATTAAAAAAGATAAAAAGATAAAAATATTTTATTAACTTTTATATTTTTTAAATTAATAAACTAAATATTTTAAAATAAATATATAATATTAATTTGTTATTAATAACTTTATGTTTATTATAATTTATTAAAAATAATTTAGTTTATTAAAATAATTTATAAAAAATATATCATCAAATACGTCTGATAATTATTTTTTAAAAATATAATATTTATCTAATTACATCATCTGTCACATAAGCATACGTTAAATTGTGTTTTAATATACCATAAACTATATTATATTTGAAGTAAATATTACTTTAAAGTGTAGCAATGTGAATTTTTTACAAAAGGACTATATATCCCGAT